AAAAAACGCAAGCTTTTCAACTGTTAATATCACACCAAGACATCAGAAATGCACCATTTTTCTGCATCTGTCAAGAAAATATTAAATACTTCCAATTTTACCTTTAAAATTACAAGGCAATCACAGACACAGCTCAAAAATGTAAAGGTGAGCAGATCAGAATTGCTATCTTCAAATTCTCAGAGACTTAATTAGTAGTCATATAAAGATTTTATGTAATGTTTCTAGGTTGCTTTTAGGTTTCCTCACTGATTAACAATACAGCAAACTCGCAAAAGAAGGGAGCCAATTAATTTCTTTGGTAAGTTTAAGAAGCTTAACCTACAGCTTATGCTACCTAAATTAAGTTAACAACAGAAAATTCAAGTCACACCTTGCCCGTCTCTTGAGTAAGCAAGTAAGTACTAATAAAACAGACGTGAAGCATGTAGTAAAACAGTAATTTTTGTGCTAACCTTAATTCCTATCGTAAGGTGGTTGGTTCTATCAAAACAATTCCTAATTCATCTGGAAAACAAGTGTTAAATGAAGCATCCTTTCACTGGCAAATTATTTCGCAACAACGCTCACGATCAAAATCCCCAATAGCATCTTTCTACAGAGCAAAAGTCATCTGCAGTTTCTGCCTCGGTTTACCCATTACTATGCACCACGCTGGCGTCTTTTTTTTTTTTTTTCTTTGATAGGCAATAAACTTTACTGACTTCAGATATTGCATCTGTCCGTGTTTCCTGTATACCCTGGAAGTCATTGACGACGAAGTCAAAGCTTAACATTTACCAACTCGGCTGAACGCGAGGCTCAGACGCCGAGCATCCGCCCACTGTCCTCCCGTGACTCCGGCTACTTTGACGCACCGGGATGCGGCTCACCTGACATTCTGCACCAACCATTCCAAGAAGGAAGCCAGCTCCGCCGACAAAATGGGTCCCCGACGAGGCGTGCGGGCGCCCCTCCGGCTGTCTTGGAGACCGCGCCGCCCCCGGCCCCTCCGCGGCGCCCGCCACCTGCCAGACCCGGCCAGGCTCGGTTGCTTGGAGCGGCTCCCGCTCCCGCCCGGCCCCGGCCCCGGCCCT